CTAGCACAAATATCAATCACAAATTGCTCCCAAGAAACTCTTTTATGCAAAGAAATGCAACTGGCAAACCAAGATTCAGCACGCCCACTCAGATATAACGAGGCTAAATCTACTTTCTGATTATTCTAAATTGCACACAATTCAAAGTATTTAGCACATTTTTGTATCCATTGTCTGGGATTGTTTCCTGAGAAGCCCGGAAATTCAATCTTGGGAGAAAATCCAAAGAATTTAGTATGAATACCTGCGGATGAATGCGAGTGTCCAGGTACAGATGGGATTACCGGAGAAGTGATATGCGTTGAGGGCGGTTCATAGTCTTCGATGCCCTTCTTCTGCAAAAGTGATAACAAGGCGTCCAGTTTCTGATTCGTCTCCTCAAATTTCTTCTCACTCAACAGATGCTGTTCTTCAAGCTGGCGTTCCAATCCCTGCACCTTGTCCTCCATTAAAGCTGATAAAGATGCTACAGTCACCTTCTTCGCCAGGATTTACAGATGATCTTCAGGGTGTTAGGATCGTTGGTGATTGAATCTGTAATTCAAGTGGTGCTCTGATACCAATTGTAATAGTCTAGGCAAGAATTGCGAAGAACTAAAATGGAAAGTAGGAATTCTAGGCCTTAGTATAGAATTCGAACATACTGGTAAGGTTGAAGAGAAGACAAAAGATTAGAAGTAATCATTCAGCACCGTATAAGAGTTCATGTACAAGTATTTATACAAACTGAATTCAACAAATCCTCAACCGAATAGCTACAAGTCGGTTAAGCTAACTAGATTTGGTGATTACGTGTGTGCAAGCATAGCTTCCTATCCTGGAGTGGCAATAGCTGACGTGGATCAGTCCAGCTCATAACATAATATTGGATAGAGATTTTTTGAAAAATAACAGAAATATTATATTGGAAGAAAAAAATATGACTAGTCTTCTTAAAAAAGTGACTATCCTTTATTTAATTAATATATTACTCTTTTAATTCTATTTGTGACTCAATTATCTACGATTACCTCCTTTCCATCTCCTGTCCCACTTCGGTCTGCGGTCTCCCACGGCCACCACTGGCGATTGCCGTTGAAAACGCGACGGTCGGAAAAGGCGACATAAAATTTTGATGTTTTCATGCTCTTTAATTCGCTATAAAAAGTGACACAATTGGTCGCAACTTTGCTCCAATCTTGAATATTGTTAATACTCAAGATTTCTGAAACAAAAACAAGTACTACTAAAGAGAAAATAATATTGAAATAAAATCTTTCCACAAAACTCTTCCTAGTATGAAGTGGTTTCGGAGGTGAACGCACTCTTGTAATATGGGTGAATAGCAACTCTACCACCGCCGGAGCGGCCGACCAAGGCTTCACGATCCATCATCGATAAAAATTCTTAGCCGCAATCCGTTCATCCGCCAACGTTATCTACTTCGACGTAGTTGCAATCCCAAAAATTAGAACACTTAAAATCAGAATAATCTGCCGCTCTAGCCCCATATTGATAGGGGCGGTGGAAAATCTCAAGTCCTACGAAGAGCGGAGACGACCTCTAGATTTTTAGAGAGAAACAAGAGCTCAACTAATTTTTTTATTTATACAGAAATTATAATTAAAAATCACTTCAGATATCTGACGAATTCCAATAGTGAAGCTTATAACTAAAATTGTCATTTAATTAGCATCCTTCAAATCTCCAAATATTATAGATTTTAGCCTCCTTCAAAATCTCTCAATTTAAAAGAGTTTAAGAATTGAGAATTTGAAATGTTTTCCCCCTCCAAGACATGACTCCCAAACATAACCTCACACATCCGCAGCAGAGCACCAAAATGAAGAAACTAGGCACGACAGCACAGTAGAATCCGCCTCTATGTTGCCCTGCCCGATATACTTTAAATACGGGTATTGTATCTTTTTACAGTTACTCTTGGGGTTGAACTTCCAGTACCAAAGCTTACAAGGTTTCAAAAATTCGACATAATGGAGAACTGCAATTTACCAATTTAAAATCTCTGATTGATATCCTCTCGAGACTGCCGGTAAAATCTCTGATGCAATTTAAATGTGTGTGCAAATAGTTTTACGATTTGATTAAGAACGACCATCAACTTATGCACAAATTCTATGTACTTAATAAAGCTGCAAACGATTATGCCGTTATAGAGTTTGAAACAGGTGGACATTACCGCTCTCAGAACCTCTTTGGTTTAATTCACAAAGAGATGGACTCTGATGAGATTGGGTGTACGTACATAGACATTCCAGATTTAGAGACAAGATTTGTAGGTTCTTGTGAAGGAATGTTGTGTTTGGTTGCTAGAAAGCATGCGGCACTTTGGAACGAATATGTTCAGGAAAAGCTTGGCCTCATTCATTACTTTTTGAGAAATATTTATACAACTAATTACAAGGGTTAGTCATGTATATGAGCCCTTAGCCCACAATATTATAATACATAAATACAATTTTGGGCTAAGCCCGTAATCGGCTAACACCCCCCTCAAGTTGGAGCATGCGGTTCAAAAATGCCCAACTTGCGCAGTAGATAAGAAAATTGATTTCTGCCTAAGGCTTTAGTGAACATGTCAGCTAGTTGATCGGTGGTAGCAATATGTCGAGCAACGAGCAATCCGGTCTGAATGGCGTCACGAACATAGTGACAGTCAACTTCAATGTGCTTTGTGCGCTCATGAAAAACGGGATTATGTGCGATATGAAGAGCAGAACGACTATCACAGAATAATGACATGGAGGCCGGATGATCAACCCCAAGACTCAGAAGCAGACCCTTTGCCCATTTGAGCTCTGCCGTGGTGGCTGCCATGGAGCGATACTCTGCCTCACTGGATGAACGGGATACGGTGTGTTGTTTCTTGGTCTTCCACGAGATAGGAGAATTGCCTAAAAAAACCAACCAGCCTGTAAGGGATCGACGAGTGAGTGGACAACTGGCCCAGTCCAAGTCACACCAACCCGTAAGAGTAAGGTCACAAGATGAGCTGAGAAGTATCCCCTGGCCCGGGGTACCTTTGAGGTAACGGACAACCCGCAGGGCTGCCAACCAATGGTCCTGACGTGGAGCCTGCATAAACTGAGATAAAATATGAACAAAATATGCTAAATCGGGACGAGTGAAAGAGAGATAAATAAGGCGGCCAACAAGCCGTCGATAGGATTCCGGATCAGCTAAAAATTCACTCTGAGAAAGAGCCAAAGTATGATTTTGCTCCATGGGGAAAGCCGTAGGTTTTGCACCTAGCAGTCCGGTTTCAGAGATAATGTCTAGCGTATATTTGCGTTGACAGAGAAAAATGCCATCGACACCCCGAGCCACCTCGATCCCAAGAAAATACTTCAGAATACCAAGATCCTTCATATGAAAACATTTATTCAGATAAGATTTAAAGTGAGAGATGGCAGAAGAATCATTGCCGGCGATGATTAAATCGTCGACATAAATGAGAACATATAACTGAGCTGCCCCCTTTTGCATAGTGAAGAGTGAATAATCTGAATATGACTGCACAAAACCATAATGCTTTAAAGAAGCAGCCAACTTAGCAAACCAGCATCGAGGGGCTTGACGCAAGCCATATAGAGACTTTTTCAAACGGCAAACTTGGTCAGGTCGAGAAAAATGAAAGCCAGGAGGGGGTTTCATGTAGACCTCCTCATCTAAGTCCCTGTGGAGAAAAGCATTATGAACATCCATCTGATGCAATTCCCAGTTTTTAGCAGCAGCAACAGCTAAAAACATACGGACAGTGACCATTTTTGCTACAGGAGCAAAGGTCTCAGTATAATCAATTCCTTCTTGCTGATGATTACCAAACACAACAAGACGAGCCTTAAGACGCTCAACGGTGCCATCTGAGTGATATTTAATTTTATACACCCATTTGCAGCCGAGAGCCTTTTTACCTGGCGGAAGCGATTCCACAACCCATGTGTGATTATTCTCAAGAGCCTGAATCTCATTTTGCATAGCCTCACGCCAATCGGCATCAGTCATAGCCTCTCTAAAAGACCGCAGTTCATGCCCTGCAAGAATAGCTCCAACAAACAACCGATGACGACTAGAGAACTTGTCACATTTTACAAAATTAGCTATAGGATATGGCGTACCTGAGGAACCATCAGTGGAGATAGGCAACGGGGATGGGCTCAATGGATTAACATGATGTGTAACATAATCGCGTAGCATAACTGAGGGTCTCTTGGAGCGTTGGCCACGTCCGAGAGCATTATTTTCAGTTTGAGCAGCCGCGGTAACCATGGATTGTGCGGTATCTTCAAGTGGAGTAACTACCAGGGGAGGATCAGTAGAAGAGACCACCACCGGATCAGGATCAAGAATAACAGGCATCGGGGTCAGTATATCGGTGTCAGGCGTGGGTTCTGCATGGGTCGTGGAAGGAGATGCGAAGAAGGGAAAATCGTTCTCGTGAAAAATCACATCACGAGAAACAAATATCTCACCCGTGACCCAATCAAATACTTTCCACCCCTTTTGACCGTGAGGATAACCAACAAAAACACCTCGACGACTTCGTGGGGAAAATTTATTGCCTCGGGAATGAACATTGTGAGCGAAACAGAGGCAACCAAACACTCGCAAATGAGAGAAATTGGGTGGAACACCATTTAGGAGTTCATATGGTGTCTTACCACCCAAAATGCCAGACGGGGTACGATTAATAAGATGCACTGCTGTGAGTACACATTCGCCCCATAAACTTATAGGGACATTGGCTTAAAACATCAAAGCTCGTGCAACATTTAAAATATGTCGATGCTTGCGTTCCACTCTCCCATTTTGCTGGGGTGTGTAAACGCACGAGGTTTGGAATAAAATCCCATGGGTGTCAAAGTACGGCCGCATACAGTTAAATTCGGTCCCATTATCACTACGCACAATTTTAACAGAAACCACATATTGTTTTTCAACCATAGTAATAAATGAAAGGAAATATTGATGGACCTCCTTTTTATCACGCAACAAGTAAACCTAAACAGCACGAGAAAAATCATCCACCAAGGTTAGAAAATATATGGCATCACAGGTGGAGGGAGTCACGAATAAGTTCAGGAATCCTACTAGCTTTATTATTACTAACAGGAAAAGAGTCACGAACTTGTTTTGCCTGTGGACACACCTCACAAGCTTTATTCAATTTTTTCTGAGAAGAACTAGAAACAGCAGGCAATAATTGTAGGACCCGATCAGAAGGATGACCCAGCAAACGACGATGCCATAGCTCAAATTCTGATGATGCCGAAGTTTGAACAGTGTGTAGTGCCGGTACCCCTCTGAAATAAAAGAGCGCATCCCGTCGTTCACCAACTCCAATCAGGTTCCTCGAGCGTAGGTCCTGTATAGCACAAAAGTTATGAGTAAAAGTGACAAGACAAGCAGATTGATCTGTTAACTGTGAAATTGAAATGAGATGACAGTTAAGTCCAGGCACATAAAGAACATGATCAAGCATAAGCTCCTTAGACAATAATACTTGGCCAGATAAAACCGCAGCCACGTTGCGCCCATATGGCAGACCAACCGGACATGCAGGAATTTTGACTGGATTAGTAAGACATGTGACATCCCCCGTAACATGGTGCGAAGCCCCCGTATCAATAATCCAATTAAGAGAAGAGTACTTATCTGACATCCGATCACAAGAACGAGTATCAGCATTTATTAAATTTAGGAGGGCTTGCACCTGCTCACTGGTCAAATTAGCTAGACCATTACTCCCTGTATTTGTGGAAGAGCTCCCTTCACCTGCCGGCAGTAGGTTCGGTGTCACTGCATATGTCCCAACCTCCCCTCCACGGCCAGCAGACAGTGCCTTGCTACGGCTTCTACCATCCCCGTTGAAGATTACATGGGTAATGAGAGTTCCCGGTTGGACACCGGAGTCAAGATAGTACGGTGAAGCAGCTGCGTCCACCATGTCCGCCGAAATAGAGCACGCTGGTGCTGAATTTGGACGAAAGTCAGAAAAAAAAAAAACGAGCTCCTCCACCCGTTTTAGTGCTCTGATACCATGCTAGAAAGCATGCGGCACTTTGGAACGAATATGTTCAGGAAAAGCTTGGCCTCATTCATTACTTTTTGAGAAATATATTTATACAACTAATTACAAGGGTTAGTCATGTATATGAGCCCTTAGCCCACAATATTATAATACATAAATACAATTTTGGGCTAAGCCCGTAATCGGCTAACATTGGTTTTGGGTAAGGGTCGTTTTGGGGTGGATATGGGGTTTGATGTTTTGATATGGAATCCATCCATTGGAGAAATCAAGCAATTACCTTCTATTTTGAGGTCCTCCGAACATTCCTTAACCTCTGCTCCTTCAAGGATCAATTATGAGCTGGATCAAAAGATTGGATTCGGGATTTCTAACAACATGACCTGGAAAGTTGTCATGCTATGGAAATTTGAATTTAGTGATGAAAATTATGGTTACCAAGTGGCAATGGTTTGCAGCCAAATCAGGGATGGTTCGTGGATTTGGAGACAAATTTATGGGGTTCCAGATGTGCAAGAGTACGCTGACCAGGATTTTTCTTCGAAAGGGAAGTACTATTGGCTGGTTGTTAGTCTGGAAGGGAAATATAGTTTGCTTTGGTTCGACTTCGAGGACGAGGTTTTTGGGACAATTGACATTCCCCTTGGTTAATGACTAATGAGTGAAAGTGGTAATATCATTGATTGGAATAAATAGGTAAGCATGGAATTCGGTGCCAGAATGTACACACGCGAATATTGGATGCCAATTCCATATTCATTATTTTTGTCCCATTGTTAGCGGGATGAAGGGAGTAATATTTTTTTGGTAAAAAACTCTTCATTGTTTTTGTCCAATTTCATATTGGACACTAAGGTTTCAAATGAATCAAATTGGACACCGTGGTTATATGAGAATCTCATGGACACTGAAATTTCAAACGGATCAAATTAGACATTATGGTTACTTGCTTATCTCATATTGGATACTAAAATTTTAAATTTATCAAATTTAACGTGATTTTTTTTTATCATTTTTGAACAGCCACCAAAGATTTTCACCTTTGAAAACTATGAGTATCCTTTTCCGTTTTGTTTTAGGTGGCTAAAAATAAAAAATAACTTAATTCATGAATTTTGATTTAGAATATATAATTAGATGTTCCAATTAATAAAATTTATTATAATGTAATAGAATTATTTAATTTTATTAAATCAATTTAACAAAACCAAATTTTTTAGGAAAAATTGACAGTAATAATCCCAACTATTGGCGGTCTGCTTATAATAATCCCAACTATCGATTATTTCAGAATAATCCCAACTTTAGGAACCTTCCACCAATAATGGTCCCTATAAATAAATTCTTGTAGTTTCTGAAGTGGATGAGGAGAGATATAGCAGATAATCCCTATAAATAATCTCAACTTTTAATTTTTACACTTAATTTCTATTTAAAATTCATTTTTAGGAGGTAATATCTGGTCATGGACCATTATTGGCAGACGGTCCATATAGTTGGGATTATACAAAAATAATCAATAGTTGGGATTATTATCAGCGGATCGGCAATAATTGGGATTATTATTTTCAATTTTTCCTATTTTTTAAAAGTTCCATATAATCATATGCATGAAAAGTCCTAAATATATTTGGAAAAATTGATAATAATAATCCCAACTATTGCCAGTCCACTAACAATAATCCCAATTATTGATTATTTTTGTATAATCCCAACTATATGGATCCTCCGCTAATAATGGTCCATGACCGGATATTAAGAGTAAAAATTAAGGGCGAAAATTAAAATTTGGGATTGTTTATAGGGATTACCTGCTATATCTCTTCTCATCCACTTTAGAAACTATATAAATTTATTTATAGTCGTTCACACCGGACCATTATTGGCGAAATGTCTCTAGATTGGGATTATTCTGAGATAATCGATAGTTGAGATTATTATGAGCGGGCCGCCAAAAGTTGGGATTATTACAATCAATTTTTCCAATATATTTTTAAATTGTTTAAATCAAATTATATAATATGAAACCTCAAATTAAATATTCTAAAATTATATATGTAATTAAATTAGTCTATTTTTAGGAAATACAAGACTACCAATTTTTATTAAAGGAAGAAGATAATAATAAGTAAGTGTCCAAAAACTATAAATTATGAAACTTTAGTGTTCAATTTGAGTTACATATTTAACCATAGTGTTCAACTTGATTCGTTTGAAATCTTAATTTCTCATATAACCATTGTTTCTAATTTGAACCTTATCCCTTTTATAGTTTATACTTTATACGATTATAGTGTGGGACATTTATAACATACATGTAAATTGGGCCTGCGCCTATTAATTCATGCAATAGGTGTGCTGTCAGCTACTGGGCTTGGGCTTTGTCGATCGATTGAAGCTACGACTTCCAATATCCGAAATCCGAAATTCCAACGACATTTGGGAAGAAATCCCTTTTGCGGTTCTAGCAGTATTAACATGTTGGTCCAGCCTGCGTGCTGATCATTGTTTGAAAAAATAGCGATTTAGAGTTTAAAATACGGGTATGACTCTGAATATTGTTTGTTTTCATTTCATATGTTAGAAAGAATTTCAATACAAAAAGTCTTGGTGTACACCCTGGGTTACACCCTGGGGTACACCATATATAAGGACAAAAAAAAAATTACCCCATCCTCCCACACCTTTCACACACTCACGCATATCTTCAATTAAAAAAAAGCCTCTCTCCCATTCGAGAATAGTCTCCCCTTTCCGCATCCCAATTGTTCCCAAATCTTCCCGCTCTGATCCGCCTTCCTCATCCTCTTCATTCATCCTCATCCCCATTTTGTAGACGTCGGTAGTCCGGATTCCTCCATCCCCTCTTCATTCTCCATCCACACAATGAAGAGGACGATGCTTGAAGTGAAGACAAAGACCCTAGTTGAAGACGAAGACCCCAGGGAGAAGGCGCCATTGTAGAATACCCCAGAGTTGCGAGCATGGTGCGAACAAGTCTGTCTGAAATGGCCGAAGGGTATGTATGAAGTTATCTCTAGATCTTTTGTGTTTTATTTTGTGTTGGAAAAGTAAAAAAAATAGCAATTGTAGTGTTTGTGTGACCCTAGGATTTTAGTAGTAGTTGTCTGTGCACCGTTCATATTTGTGTGTTGGAACTAAACTGTTTGTGTGCACCAACAGATTTGAGTACGCGTTGTCTGTGGAGCCGTTGTGTTAAATTAGCTAAATATCTGTGAATTGTAAAAGAAATTACCTGTTCTTTGAAGGGTCATATATCCATATTTATTTATTTTTGTTTTTGTAGGCTTATATTTCAGTTTAATAAAATCGATTTGACTTTGTATTGGATACTTAATTAATGAAGAAGTTATAAGCATGAACGGGTGGTGTGTTGGAACTAAACTGTTTCTGTGCACCAAATTTTTGTGAACTATAGAATAAAATAGTTGTTATTTGAAGGGTCATATATCTATTTATAATGTTTTGGTTTTGTATTGTCGTATATTTAACTTTAGAAGCATTAGTTTGTTGCTACGAGTTGTCTTCATTAGGTTTTTTATTGTGTATTGGAGTTGAATATAGTGATAACTGTGTTTACCATTTTGTCAATTTCAGTTTTTGTGTTTAAAAATAAAAAAATAGAAGTTAGAACCCTTAATAGGTTGTGTGTGAGCATTTGGAATTGCAGTGTCAGTATAACCTTATGGTTTGACCGCAGTTGTCTGTGAGTTCTTATGTGACACGTTTGAAGTGTCTGTGAGTTGTTAAGTATGACCTGCACTAACAAGACTTCAAATAAACATAAAGAAGGATGATTAGTAGCCGTGTTGTTGTCTGTGAATAACATGAGTTCATTCCTTTGCAGGGCATAATAACTTTTCTGTTTGCACCGCCAATTGTATATTTTTACTTGTTATTATTATCGTCTGTGCATACCGACAATTAGATGTAGCAATTTATGATTGTGAACTTTTCGTGTGTTTTCAGCACCGGAGAGTGAGAAGTCATGGTGTTGGCGGCGTTTGTTGAGCATTTGTTGTTGGAGTTACCATTGTTACCAGGTTGTGAGTACGAGATTGTGGAATGTTGTACAATAGCGCATGAGATTTTGTACATGATTGTAACTCCAATGCCAAACTTTAATGCATCCGTATTGTATAAACACTTGTAAGTTTGTGTAATGGAAATGTGTTTGTGGTAACATATATATTGTATGTTGGCATACTTATTGTGTTTGTGTTGGGAAGACCTGATTGAAACCCTAAAACTGACCCTGACCTTACCTGAACAATCAATATAATATACAAAAAATAGTAACTTTAATCACATTTTTAAATAGTTCTTAATATATTACGGAGATTATATTTATGGTAGATGAAAAAATAACTTAGTAACTTTTAGTGGTTACAAATAAATTAAATTTTGTATACCGTAATAATCATGAAAATATATTTATAGTAACTTTAGACACATTTTTATTCCGAAATAAAACCTATATTTTATATTTTTATATGCATCTTAAAAAAAATATTAAGATAATTATTTTATGACTAATATTTGTGTTATTATTTGTGCTCTGTATTTTTGATTAATTTTATTTGAAAATAGATTTTAAAATATAAAAGAAAAAATGATATGATTTCACATTCGAGCTTTAATTGGCTCAACCCGAACTCGGGTCGAATGTAATGAGCTTTGTTCTGGTCCCTAATTACCATACGGGTAACTTTCGGGTTTAACAAAAAACTGACCTAGACTGATCTCACTCCTAAGTTAAAATAATATGTGTGTTTTATTGTTCTTATTATTGTCTGTGTACACTGATAGTAATTCATGTGTTGTTATAATTATTGTCTGTGTGCACCGACAACAATACTTGTATTTTTATGTTCTTATTATTGTTTGTGTGCACCAACAGTAATAAGTGTGTTGTTATTATTGCCTATGTGCACCGACAGGAATGTATGTTTATTTAAAGTACTTGACTATGTAGTTATAATAAGTTTGACACCTACAACAATACCAAAACGCATAAAGAGTGAACCTTACATTACATCAAACTCAATGTCATGTTAAAATCTAAATCAAGAATTTGTACATTTGTGCTTGGGACTTGCGATCCAAGTTCACCAGTAGTAATAAAAGTTGCGTGTTTGAGTCACACAAGTGTAAAAATTACAAACTCAAATCATATTGCCACACAAATACTTACAAACCATATTACTACAACTCAAACCATATTACCACACACACTTACAAAGAAAGTAATGTCTGTGTACACCTACAAAAAGACTATTACTATGTTCACACCGACACTAGTTGTCAGTACAACCACTCAGGAAGCTTTCATTCGTCTGTGCACACCGACATGTGCACACCGACATATGTACATTTTTTGTAGAAATCATAAACTGCATCTTTTGTAGAAAACTCCATGCCTATCTTTGGAATTTGTTCACATTCATCACCATTGTTATCTCCATCTGTTTACATAATCAAATAATTATTTTACATTAACTCATTCATAGTTGACATTCAAATGATTAAATTAACCATACATTGACACAATACAAATTAACCATATTTGACACAATACATCACCATTAAATTACTTTTTGGAAGGAAGACGATTCTATCTCTTTAGAGATCGTTGTGCTCTTCACTTGATGATGACCTATGCTCATGAGAGCGTGAAACCATCAATTTTAAGTTCCTGATTCAAATGTATACAAAAAATTTAAGCCACATGAATCTGGATAGAGTAAAATCAACTTAGATAATCTTATAAACAGTATTCAATAGAAATCTAACATATGTAACCCATGAGAAGTCTGTAATGTACCTGAAATGAAAATAGAAAATCTAAAGAAAAAACTAAAGTAAATTCAAAAGTAGTGTCGAGAGTGAGAAACAAGAGAGAAAATGGGGAGGTGGCTGAGATAGTGCTACTGAGGATTATAAAACTATCTAATTTAAGAAGTATATTATAAAACTCCATCTCTAAGTGATGATTTCTAATGGTTATGCATTGCTAAGATTAAAGAGTATCTTCTTTAAACAGGGCTCTTTCTATTAGGCCAAATGGAGTCAATAAAAACACATATTGGTTAGTTTTAATGTACTAAAAATTACTATGACAACAATTATGGTTAGAATGAGTCTCCTAAAAAAATATCAGACCTTGCGGCTAAGAAAAAGAAACAAAACTAAAGTTGGATGAAAATGAAAATAATGGGTTTTGAGAGCTGAAAACCCCTTTGTCTATCTCAGCCTGTTTAGAAAATTAGATAATTATGTTACACAAATAAGTTTTCAACACACATCTTTCATTCACACCGACACTAATTGTCAGTAAAATCACTCAGAAAACTTTCATTCGTATGTGCACACCGACACTAGTTGTAAGTAAAATCATTTAGAAAACTTTAATTCGTCTGTACACACCGACACTAGTTGTCGGTAAAATCACTCAGAAAACTTTTATTCGCCTATACACACCGACACTAGTTGTCGGTAAAATCACTTTGAAAACATTCATTCGTTTGTGCACACCAACACTGTGTTGTTTACTTCCCCGGCCAAGCTTCGACTTTTGTTATAACTCACACAACAACCTCACAGACACTTCGCTACTCTTACATAACAACTCGCAGACAACATTAAGCCAAACCATCTTACCACACAAACACTGCAATTTGAACACACACACAATCACTTATTTGTTCATTTTTTCAATTATATCTCTGTTTTCCGCCGTACCTCCGTTTTTGGCTGCAGCTCCTTCTCCGTTCACAAGTGTGCTCTTAGTCGCACCTCTGTCGTTGTTCGCATCTACATCGTTCAGACCACGGTTCCGGCCGCACCTCCATTTCCGGCTGTAGTTCCTGTTTTGTTCACTGGTGTGTCCTTCATTGCAACTCCGCTTTGGTTTGCAGTAATATATCCTGCCGGCCCTCCATCTAAGATAAAAAAGAGAGAATAACCATCAATTGAATTAAAAAAGAAAAAAAGGGAGGAAGGTCGGGAGAATGGGAACTCTCGTAATACAGAAGTCAAGGAGATAAGAGGGGGCTGACTGTGAAGGCACATGGGTGAGGAGGGGTAAACTACTCTGTAAAATTATAGGTATTTATAAGGTGTACCCCAGGGTGTAACCCAGGGTGTACACCAAGACTTTTTGATTTCAATAATCAAGCACTAGGATTCGGTAATGCCTGTCCGTAATTCTGGGCTTGAAGTATGATGTTCATGTTCATATTCATGTTTAGAATCTGCAGCACTTGATACTGATTGCATTTCAACTACTCGTTTTATAGCTTTCTGTAATATGCTTTAATTTACTTGCTTCAATTCGCATCTCTTAAAGCTATCTAGGCATTCTGGGGCATGGCTGCTGAAGACAGAATCAGTGGACTTCCTGGTGATATACTTGACCATATTTTGGGGTTATTACCAATTCGAGATGCTGCTAGAACTTCTGTTTTGTCTACGGTTTGGAGAGATGTCTGGTTAAGTCTTTCCCAACTCATCTTTGACACTAACTTTTTTATTCACATCCATGACCGCTACATTGCAGAATCAACCATGTTTGTAATCAACAAAATTCTCATGAGGCACAACAAACCTATTCGAAAATTTGTTTTCCATTTTGACAATTTCTTTTGGGCAAAAAGAGATAAGAAAACTAGTTGGGTTGAATTGGATGAATGGTTACTTTATCTCACAAGAAATGGGGTTGAAGAATTGGACCTATCTTTTGGGTCATCTGCATATGCATACGTATTGCCCAATTTCATATTCTCATGCTCAACTCTCAAGAAGTTGTGTCTTCATGGAGTGTTTGTTGAACCAATAAACGTCTCGTGCATATTTCCGAATGTCACTTCTCTTTGTCTTAAAAGGATTCAGTTTGATTCCAAAAATCTTTTCTATTCTCCCACGGATCTTCCCATGCTAGAGAGTCTTGAGTGTGGAGATATTTCTGGTTTCAACATGACTGCTCCAAAACTTAGAAGTTTAAAAATTTCCAATGTGTTCAACATGACTTCTCATGGTGTTCTTCCGTTTACCTTGGATTTGAAACCCATCTCTTCTCTTCATCTCGACCATTGCTCTGCTAAGGTACACTAGACACACATCTTCTACTTTTTTCTGGATTACTATTTGTAGAATATCTTTTAGAAAATTAGCTGACTCCTACTTGATTTTTTCTAGGATATTATTAAAGAATTTAGACGATTGGGTAAACAAGGAACTATGCTCAATGTGGGTTGCCTCAAGCTATGTTTGAGGGTCCTCAGCGATGAGATTTCCGCCTTCATTAAATTGTTGCAAATGTGTCCAAACTTATACAAACTTGATATAGAGCTATCGGTAAGCCGGTAATCTGATAGAAGGCACAATTCTGTGTCATAGAGAACTATTATTCTATTTTTCAAATTGTTCATGTTAGTTTTTCTCCTTCCTTAAATTGCATTTCTTTGCTCTAAATAAATGGTGGGCCAAAGGAGATATATTACCATTTTTTTAAATGTTTTTTAGAACATAGGTGTGGCATTTACTACAGAAGCTTCTTTGGAGTGTCGGGAGTTTATTCTGGCCGAAACATGCCAAAGGGTTCATATTTTGAATATTTCTTGTGCGTTTAGAGGGACAATGCCGGAAATGATACTCTTCAAGTGGCTTGTTTCATGCTTTCCGATGCTTGAGAATGTTTTCATATATCAAAGAAAAACATTCTGTTCCAACACAGAGTTTAAAAACAAGAGAAAGCTTTTGCGCTTTCTTCGGGATTCTTCAAAAGCGGATATTGTTTACTCCGAAAAAGGTTGTTAGATTTGTAGTCTAGCTTAAGTATTTTGTAATATAGTACATTACTATTTTTGAAGTCATGTGTATGTATTACTCAGTATGCAAACTTTCAACCTCTAAATCTTGCGGAACGTTGCCCATTAAGTTTGATGGAAAAATTTCACCACTTCTGAAATTCATTTAGGGGGATTTCTCAATCCGCTAAAGTGCTGAACTATGAATACACTTCAACGGATGGTTATGAATCCTTTTGATTTTGTTCAGATCTCAATGGTTATAAAGCTTTCTGTTTCAGAAGGTTTTCTGGAATGCTATCCAACAATCCTTTTTAATTTATCCAACATTCATTTTATTTATTGGGAGGTTTTCTGGAGATTCCATTGCGGATTTTTGTTCTTGGGACTGCATTTTTTGGAGTGGTTGCATCTTTTAAGTGGTTGCAGGGTTGGTTTTATTTGTCTCATGATTTTCAAGTTCCACTAGCGGATTGCATTTTGTAGTTTATTATCTAGACTAGATATCCTTGTAAAACGCAATTGTTAGCGGTTGCAATTCTTAACGGTTGTAATTGTTAGTTTCACTAATAACGGTTGTCCCATCCCCCTCTCTAGCCTCAAAACCCGAAGATCTTCTCGACCTATGATCAGACATAGAAATTATTACCCTAAAGAGAAATTATCATTTCACTAACCAGGTGAGAGCTTTGAAGATATAGCTGGCTTTTGGAGACTGAACTTCTGACCTGGAAAGCACACCTTTCTTTCACATTCTTTGCACACCTATGATCCATCAATCATTGATTGATTTTTAAACTAGTTTTTTTTACCCGTTCCGTGCACGGGATAAAATACATTTTTATATATATCTAAAGAGAGTGGATGACTGAGAGTTTTTCATAATTGAAAAAAATGCTAAAGACAATATGTCAAGTGAAAACTTTCAGAAGATTTTACTTTTTTTTATCAGTCAACTTTTTAATAAACACGTAACTTTTGATTCTTCTCATTAAATTATGTAATAATTAGAACTATTTTTCAAAATTGATTTTACAAATAGATGAAAGATAAATTATATAAAATAGGTAAAGTGACCTTCTATAATAACTTCAGTCAATTCGGTAGAAAAAGTAAATCTAACCTTACATATGTATTTTAATTATTACACAATTAAGCGTGAAAAAAAAAGTTCTGTGTTTATAAAAATTTAAGAGCCCATTTGATAACCAATATTTTCAACTTATCAAATCTTATTAGACAACCTTTTCATAAACATGTAACTTTTAAATTTTCATGCTAGATTGGTTGCTTTCACAATTAAATATACTTAATGTCATTTAGATTGTGCTTAATATTTTTATTTGTGTTTTTCTTTATGTTACACTTGAAAGACTCTTATATGCACAAATTCATTTTTTACTTCATCGTTTATTTAGTTGGAGCAGCAAATATGGCATCAATAAAGTTAATTGAATCGCATCATTGCTAATGTCAAAAAATGTTACACAGTATTTTTACACGAATGCCAGGTGCTATGACTATTGAATTAGATATCAATAGTCATAATAAAATACTATTCTTACATTCTACGTAGTATAATAAAAATAAAAAAATAAAAATATCTTTTACCTGGGTAAAAAATAAGACTGCATGTGCTAACATTTGCTAAATACACATTTGTCTTAATGCTTTTTCAAATTTGTGTTCACCTTTCTAATTAAGGATATTTTCAATTGGAATCAATTTCTTTTATCTGATCTACGAAAGTAAAAGTTATATTTACTTTAGTGTATATGTTAAATATCAACATAAATCTTGATATATTTTTGTCGAGAGTTTCAGATCCGTAAAAGCTTTATTAATTACATATATAGGAATCATATTGTAATTCTGAAAGTGGCATTTAAGAGCTAGATAAATAAGCTAGACTGTGTATAAAGAATAATTATTTTACCCATGGATGTAACATTAATATAGTATTATTCGGTCATAAAATTTAGATAATTTTTCTTTTCTAAATATGGGACATAGTTTGATATGCTTATGTTTCAATTATTATTTGTCACTTGATGTGAGGATCTTTTTATAGATTAAATTCAACTAATCTTCTTCGTTCAATAACACTTATTTTAAATCAATCTAACGGAAACTAAATCCACCATCACCATTCGCGTTTTGCAACCGGCCTGTTGTGACCGCCATGACCTTCATTGAAATCAGAATGTCACAAAATTATATATTCCGAGCTTGTTTCTTAAAGATTGAGTTAGGACTAATTTGCTCAATTCTAAATCTTAGAAGAGCTAATATCTTCAAACAAACGACCACATCCATTATTTAATAAATAAATCACAACAATGTGTGGTTATTAGTTTAAAAAAACAATAAGCTACAAATGAATAGCCCGTTAGGTGACCCTATTTTTCGGCTTATCAGGATTATGAGTTAACTTTTTTCACTAAACATGTAACTTTTGATTTCGCACGCTGAATTGTGTAATAATAAGAAAAGGTAAAGTTGATGAAATTAATTTTTGGATGTATTGGCTGAAGTTACTGTAGATGATCATTTTAGCGGTTTTTTCATATAATTTTTTCTTTATTTTATTAATAAAATATATTTTAAATATTATTTTTTTCATAAATTAGCAGAATCAGCCAATCCAGCCACTTCGGCCAAAAGTTCATAAATTTTAGCAGAATCAGCAAATATAGCCTATTTGAGTATTATCAAACGGGCTCGAAGTCAAACGGATAAAAATAAGCATTGAGTAATTTCTTTTCTTTTTGGTTAGATAGAGATTTGAAAAGACGAAGTTCATTTGGATGCAACTTAGAGTTATAAAAAATTGACTCTTTTAATTGGAAAACATATACTGAGAACGTGTTTACATAATTAGTCAAAAAATAAGACATACTTAACAAATAAAAATATGCATTATCAACCAATGTTATAATCGACTAAATGGGTGATTTTCTGTTGGTTATAATAACTCATACATATGTCGCTGCGCGCACAAATATATAGTATAACTAAAACTAAATCTTTTTATTAGTCGGTTGTATTAACTTGCACATAGGGCAATCCTAGAAAAAAGTTAAGTGCACATGTGATAATTTCTGTTTTTAGCTTATTTGTTTAACTGTCAATTTTTTAATAAACACGTAATTTTTAATTCTTCTCACTGAATTATGGAATAATAGATGTACTAAAAACTATATAGATGAAAGAAAAATTAGACATAGTATAAAATAGATAATATGATATTCTACAATAACTTTAGTCAATTAAGTAAAAAATAGTAAAACTAACCTTTTATATATATTTTGATTATTACACTATTAAGCTTGAAGAATCAAAAGTAAAGTGTTTATACAAATTTAAAAGCCTGTTTGACAACCTCTCTTTTCAGCTTATCTATCTTATCAAACAACCTTTTTACAAACATGTAACTTTCCATTCTCCATGTTGATTTGGATAACAATCAAAATATATAAAATTAGATTTATCTCTTTGACTGAATTGACTGAAGTTATTGTAGGAGATTATTTTAATTTTTTTATATGATTTTTTCTTTAATCTATTAGTATAATTTTTCTCTAATCTATTAGCGATTACATATTGGAGAATATGTGTTTGATTGTAATTGCATTTGAGTGCCATTATTCTTGCATCCATAAAATCCAAGTAAAATTTTATAGAAAAGGGTTGCAATAGCAATCTTATATATCGGAGTATTTATTTATGAAATTGTTATGGGACCAATTGATTTTACTCTAGGAGTCTAGGCAATTTTAAAAAAATCTATGTTTAATGAGGAGAATGACCGTGAGAAAATATGGCTTTTGAGTAAATTGCTCTAAATTTGACACATGACAAAATTTTCCGTAATTGTATCTCTCAAATGTATTAATGTATTATCTATAGATAGATAAATTTTTATATACTCAATATTGGTGTCATATGAAAGATAACGAAAAGTTATAAATTTTGATATATTTTTTGTGACAATCTGAGTACAAATAAAAAAAAAAATTATATCACTCTAAAATAAATATGGGATTTTAATTTTTAAATTACGTATATTCCAACACATTGCATTGTTATTTAAATAGATTACGTAATAACATGACTTCTAATCTAACTAAACTGCTAATCTAACGGAAGTATAATATATTAGGCTTGCTCAAAAGATGACACATGGCAAAACTTTCCATAATTGTAACCTTCAAATGTATTATCTATAGATGCTATTGCTTTGATTCTGCCAACGAGTAGGGGTGGACTCGGGCCCGGGCCCGGCCGGGCCTCGGTTCATGAAAGGGGAGGCCCGGAACCGGCCCGGGTCCGGGCTGGGCTGGGCCGGGCCTCAGTTCAAATTACTTTTTTTTTTGGCTTTTCCTAATTAACCTCCAACCCTCCCTCCTCACCCCCAAACCACCTCAAATGGCCCAAAATACCCAGCCCAACCCAAAAACATAAAAAAAAATTCAAAAAAAAAAAAGAAAAATAAATAAATTGGCCCGAACTGGGCCCGAACCGGCCAGGCCGGTTCACCTTTTCAGGGGCCCGAGCCTGGCCCGGAACCCCAGCGGGTTGGGCCTACCCGGACCGGTCCCTGGCCGGGCCGGCAGTTTGGGCCGGTTCAAACAGTGACCGGGCCGGCCCGGTTCTGGGCCGGGCCGCCCGGCCCGAGTCCGCCCCTGCCAATGAGTGAAGAAAAATACCCGATGTCGCTAATATATTCGTAATTATTTTTTAAAATGAGTGACTCTAAAGCTTCGAATGGTATTTATAAATCGTGAGTTTGTATATTAGAAAAAGATGTTATTGGAAATTGTAGTAATGTAGTATGAAACAATACATTCGTAATTATTTTTTAAAATGAGTGACTCTAAAGCTTCGAATGGTACTTATAAATCGTGAGGTTGTATATTATAAAAAGATGTTATTGGAAATTGTATATTGACATATTGTAATTAGTAATTGCTCCAAGTAAGACCAAAAATAACTAAAAAAAGTACAAATAGGATCACTACATTTTTTACCATCCAAAATAGGTCTAAACAAATTCAGCATACCCAAAATGCCCCTAAGGGTATTATTTCATACTAACATGTAATAATGCATAATAAAATCTTAAAAAATAGTAAAAAATCATTTTTTTTAAAATCGTACAAAAATAATTAAAAAAATATTATTAAATAAAAAAATTAAAAACTATTTTTTTTAATTTTTTTTAAAAATTATTAAAAAATAGTAAAATATCATAAAAAAATAAAAAATGGAAACCTTTATCACCGCCTCCCAGAACCACCACCTTCGACTGGTAAAAATTATGTCATTTTTTATAAAAAAATTCATTTTTTTCCAGAAAATGACAAGAAAATGGCATAACTACTCTTCATAATGCCAAAAATCGCATTGAATCTACCATTATTATGGCATTACTAGGATTGTTGGCAGATTTCTGTTTTTGATTTTTTAAAAAAAAATTAATAGAAGATAGTAAAAATCCATAAAAAAATTAAAAAAAATGGATAAATCCGATTGGTACAGATTCTGCCATTATTTGTAAAAAAAATGCCATTGTTTTCTGAAAATGCCAAGAAAATGGAATTTTTATTCATCATAATGCCAAAATTATCATTGATTCTTCCATTGTTATGGCATTACTACAAAATTTGGCAGATTTCCAACCGGTGATGGGAGGTGGTGGTGCTGGGGTGGCAGAGGCGGCGGCCTTTTTTATATAAATATTTTACGATTTTTTTAAATAATTTTTGACGTTTTCTTTTTATTTTTTACGTTTATTATTTTTTTATGAATTTATTATTAATTAAGACCTTTCAAAAGTCTGAAGGGCATATTTGTCCAAATACACATAAAATAGTTTTACTAATGAAAGAAAAAACATGTAGTCCTATTTATGCTCTTCGAATCACTTTTTTGTTCTATAGGGAATCACTTTTTCATACTGCTAAAGGAATTTGCCATAGATCACAAATTGCCATGTGTTTTAATATGGGATAAGGGTTAGTTTGGTCCTCGAAGTTGCAAAAAAGGGGTCAAATAAGTCCTTATATAGAAAATTTTGTCCGGACGTGCCATTTGAGGTGGCTCCCGGTGGAATTTTTTGATTAAATTTTTTGAGCATCTTATTCATTAAGTCTAGTTTACTCATACCAAATTTCAGCTAAAAATTCAATCAGAAAGACATTCAAATGAATTCTTGAAGATAACTGTGTCGTTAAAAGCGCAGTTATCTTCAAGAATTCATTTGAATGTCTCTCTAATTGAATTTTTAGCTGAAATTTGGTATGAGTAAACTAGACTTAATGAATAAGATGCTCAAAAAATTTCATCAAAAAATTCTACCGGGAGCCACCTCAAATGGCACGTCCAGACAGAATCTTCTATATAAGGACTTATTTGACCCCTTTTTGCAACTTCTAGGACTAAACTGACCCTTTACTCGTTTTTATATCAAAGAAAATTTCCTGTGGAGAAACTCAATTAAAAATGGCGTATTCCATTTTTGGGTACCTATAGCATAGCTCATGGTTAATACCTCATTTGGGGATAAAAATTGTCTTTCTTGGTGTAGTACTGTAGTAGGCTAGTAGTGTAGCTTCGTTAATACCGTTCTTGTTTCTTCCGTACGCTCATCTCTTCACTTCACTGAGCATCTCCTTTAGGTTTCGCAACATTCAAACCTTCAATCCAGAAATCGGCGCTAGGGTTCCTCAATCGGCTTCACTCCCTTCATCTTTTAACATTATTTTGTTAAGATTGGATTAGCTATTTATCTTCTCCTCGCGTGTGAGTTGATAGTTTCCTGGATTTGTGGGCTGGTGTAATGATTGATTATTGCAGGTGAGGCTTCACTCCCTTCATCTTTTAACATTATTTTGTTAAAATTGGATTAGCTATTTCAAAATAATCGAAATGGTAAGAGTAGAAGCTACTCCAATTTTAACAAAATAATTTTGTTTACCAAATGATTTAATGGTTCGCTGTTAATTTTATGTTTACCAAATATTTTTGTAGACATATTGTTTAAATGTTCTTATCTTTTCTTAAAACAAAAGAATTCTTAGAGTTCGAAGTTCTTTAATAATTTACTTTGTTTTTATCTATTATCATAATTGGGCATAAAAAATAATGCCAAGATTTTGGCCTCTAAGGTTTCTCCTGATAAAGACAAGTTGATCCAGGAGGAATCTTTAGCGGAAGAGGAACACTCGTCTAGACTTCCGAGGCTTAAGTTAGTGTTCACTGGCATGTTTAGTTTCTTGTGGTGTGAATTGGATTGGATGATCAATGTTGAAAGTTGGTCTCTTGAAGTTGCAAGTTTTATTGTAGCTGTTTTATTTTCTGTGTCATGATCAAATATCATATTTGCCTGTGTGAATTTCCAAAATAGATTTGTTGGTTGGGTTATTTTTGTAAATTGTATTGTTAAGTTATTGCTCAAGTTATATTTAAGATAAAAGGGGAAAAGGAGGGAAACGAGAATGTTACAACAGCCATCCATATACTTTTTTCTTTGTTCTGTAAGACTCTGTTTGGTGGGAAGGTTTTGGAGGAGAAGGAAAGGGATGGGTGTTTATTATTTTGCTAATTTATTTTTAGATGATTTTGAAACAGTGAAGATGATTTTTTTTATAGACATACATAATTTAACGAAAAATATTGTTCTTTTGTGATTTGTACTTTAAGTGTCTGAGACTTGTAAATAAATAAAATTTCGTATAACGAAAATAAATCCTCTAATTCATCCCTTCTGAGAACCCTCAATCAAGTGCATCCTAAATGATCTATGCCTTTTCTTTTGTATCTAGGGTGGCTGGGTGGGTATTCACAGGTATCGTTTATAGCAGTTAATCCTGTACAGAACATAACATTATAGCTATTTCCGGTTTGGTGAAAATTGACCTGAAGTTGCCACTTGGTATGTTTTCCACAGGAACTGACAATCTTGCTGACATTCATCTGTATCATTTGTTAAACTAAAGAAATTTGAAGTGCAAAACACAAAATGATTATAGACTTAAGACTATGTGTATCATGCTTACCGAAATTGGATTTATAATCTATAGTATAATATCCTGTTCTTGTATCAGCAATCAATCAGTCATCCCTCATTTCCATTAGTTTTTTTATATATTGTGTAAGGCTGTTTTTCTCTCCCTTTTCTGGCTATCAATACTATATTTTGACCAAGTATGGTACTTACTCTATTTTTGTGGTCCCTTAAGTAATACTGCATTACTGCTTAAATTGCAGAGCCGCTGCAGCTTATTGTCCCATAGACATGCAGAGGGCTCATTACTTGTTGAAGACTTCAACTTAGAACTTGAAAATCAGGGCAGAGAAAAAGTGCAGCTTTGATATGATACCGATCAGAGGTATGGCCGATCAAGTGGATTTATTTTCTGGTCAGAGCGATGTCGGCGGAGTTGTCCTAGCCACTTGAACTGTTGCAGTCTCTGTCAGTCTGTCCACAAAAAAGGGTTCCAGTCAGACCTAATGCAACATCTGGCTTCAATGATAAAACTGTTAAAACATATCAGCCAATACCCATTAATTAGAAAGAGTGCATTGACATGCTCTTACAGTACAGCTGTTCGATCTCCTCTAGTCTCCAGCCAAGGCTGTGTGAAGAAGATTGTATCTGCAGATATAGGATCACCCAAATTTTCAGGAAAAGATGGTGAAGGTGAACACAAACGGAAAATAGGAGAACATGTTTCAAGAAAGGATAAGATCAGCATTCTGGTAGAGACGCTTCTAGACCTAAAAGATAGTAAAGAAGGTATCTACACTGCCCTGGATGCCTGGGTTGCATGGGAGCAGAACTTCCCAATTGGATCCCTAAAGCAGGTGTTACTGAAACTCGAGAAAGAGCAACAGTGGCATAGAGTTATCCAAGTTATAAAGTGGATTTTAAGCAAGGGGCAGGGCAACACTAGAGGTACTTATGCACAGTTAATTCTAGCATTAGATATGGATCATAGGGCGAAGGAAGCATGTGAGATTTGGAGGAAAAACATTGGGTCGGACCTACATTCAGTGCCATGGTCATTGTGCAGTCTCATGATTTCAGTATATTATCGAAATGATATGCTGGAGGATCTTGTAAAGCTGTTCAAGGGCTTGGAAGCATTTGGGCGTAAACCGCCAGAGAAGTCTATAGTGCAGAAAGTTGCTGATGCATATGAAATGTTGGGCTTGTCCAAAGATAAAGAATGCGTGATGGAGAAGTACAAGGATCTCTTCACTGAGACACTGGATGGACGGTCCAAGAAATTTAAGGGATTTCGGGGCAAGAAGAAAGGAGGAAGCAAAGAAGGAAGATTGAGAATGTAGTTATTTACTTATGTATGCTTCTGTACATCATTCTACGTCTTCTTGAAGTTAAGTAATTAATTATTTCGGCAAAAAAAAACCGCTCAGAGGTATCAATAAGATTTTATGTAGCAGATGAAGCTTTAGTACACTTGTGCTTTCTATAAACTTGTACTCCATGATGGCTTTCCACCTTATTTGGCAGGGCTATTATGACGGGTGTCATGCTACATGCCAATGGGAAAGCCATGATCAGAAAGCAACAGCTTAAAGAAGCACTTGAGGTTCTCACAATGGGAGAGGTGGACATGTGGAACTTGTCATAATTGAGATCTTTGCTGAATGCTTAGTTTGCCTTCGATTTGGATTATGAATGGGTTTCTTGCATACACCCATGAACTAATTATAATAATGACTTGTTTGGTTACTCGTGTTTTGGTTAAAGTATAGTTTAATGTTGCTTAAACTTGACAGAAAAAATAACATTACCATATTCTAGGTTTTAATATGATAAAGATTTATCCTTCAATTCATTTAAGTATATTAGTAGTGTTGTCGAACATTTGTTTTATTTCATCATTGTGGTGGCCTCCTACTCTTCCAGTTTCCAGTTCCTAGACACATTAGTTTTTTTACATGTTATTTTCTCGAATTGCATATTTGCATAATAAAATGGCATTTATCCTTTTAAAAGAACCTTTGGTATTAATGGACAAATCCCTTTTATTTATGTATACATTTTCATTTATTAGGTCGGCTTACTTCCTTGATATCAGCTCCCTATTTAATCTTCCTCAGACGTTTTAATCTAACGTGGAGTAATGCACATAAATGTTGCAGCACACTTAGGACATGTTTACTTCACGGGTTATTAAACGTGCTTATTAAAACCCGCGTTAATAAGCGGCGCATAAAATAAGCAATGTTGTAAGACCATGTTTATTTCAAAGGGTTTAAAACACTGTTTAACATTAAAATTTCTAAAATAACCCTATACATATGTAGACACACAAACCTTCATGAATACAAGTGATAGAGTATATGGGCCTGGACCCCATGGCTCACATACTCAACGGCCCAAGAAACACCAGCAGGGCATTCACGTGGCACGCGTCGACCAAAAGCCCGCAACGGCCAAGAAAAAGGGCATCACCCGGGTTCCTAAAGACCGCATCGTCCATGGATCGCATCGTCCATGGACCATTGGACCGCATCGTCCAAAGTGCGCCGCCTCGGCCAGACTTCGTCCTGGCAGAATGTATTTTCCTACCTGATTTACTAAGTATTCTACTTAGCCCATGAGTGGCCGTATTCGCCCAAAGAAGGCATGATTATTGTAATGAGCCTCCTAAGCCCAAGGCTAGGGGCCCAAGTCCACATTTTTATCTATAAATAGACCCTAAGGGGCTAATTATAGGGGGTTGAGAAGTATTCATTGCTCACTTTATCTCTCTAGCTCTCACATCTCTCTAGAATTACTCTATCAACAAGTATATAATATAATATGTGAGGTCACCTCGTACGTGTACCCCTATGGCCCTATACCCCCGCTTACCCCCACCCCTATACCCTTACACCTACCATACCCTACCTGATAGAATATATAGACTCGGACCCCCAGGTCTCACGACTTTTGGGCCTGGACAGCGGCCCACACACGCCTTACAGATATTACTTGTATTATGTACAATCCAATTTGTATTTGAATTTACTAGATTAGCCTTTTATATTATTATTCCATTTATGTAATCGGGTCTGTCGGGCCCATATTAGAGGCCCAGACCTGGATTTCCCTAATTATACTCCTCTTGGATCTCCTTGTAACCCTAGAACATAATTTACACAATACACTCTTTACTATTCATCTTCTTCCTCATCTCACAGTATAGCTCAATCTCTCCTAATTATATATCTTTGGATCCATAATATCCATCACAATCCCCCACCCTTACCCCTAACCACGACCCAACCCCACTCCCTACGCCACTTGCCCCTCGCTCGGCCCCACCCCAATCCCAACCCCACCCTCACCCCACCCCCATCCCACCCCACTTTGCACCGCCCCCTACCATACCCCTACCACATGCCCCTACCTTGGTCCTACCCTATTGTAGGAGTCGGGGTGGGATCGATGTGGTGGGGTTGGGGTTGGGGTTGGGTGGTTAAGGGCCTAGGGGTTAGGGTGGGGTCGGGGTGGGGCCGATGTAGGGGTAGGGTGTTGGTGTAGGGTGGTAAGGGCCTATGGTTAAGGGGTAGGGTGGAGGGTGGCCTAGGGGTTGGGGTTACGGTAGGGTGGTAAGCCTGGGTCGAGGTCGAGGAAAGGTAGGGTAGGTAGGGTAGGTAGGGTGGGGTCAGGGTAAGGTAGTGTTGGTAGGGGCGAGGTGGGCCAGATGTGGTAGGGGGTTGGGGTAGGGTGGTAAGGGCTCAGGGGTAAGGGTTAGGGTAGGGATGGTAAGGACCAGGGGGTGGGGTGGGTTCGGGGTCGGGGTAAGGTAGGGGTGGGGTCGGGGGTTGGGTAGGTGGGGTGGAGATTTCGTGGGATCGAGTTAGGGGTACAGTATGGATCGGGGTGGGGCCTAGGTGGGGGCATGTGGTATGGGGTAGGGTCATTGTAGGGAAAAGGGGTATGCGGGGTGGGGGTGGGTTAATGGTCGAGTAGGGTAGGGGTAAGGGGTAAGGTACGAGCATGGATGTAGTGGGTAGGGTGGGGTTAAGGGAGGGGTCAGGGTAGTAGGGTAGGGCGGGGTGGGGTAGCGGGTAGAGGGTAACAATGGGATAAGGGCAAGGGGTAAATTCAAATTCGGAAACTGAAAAAGTTTAAAGTGCCGCTTAATTAATGCATGAGAGGTGGTATGCTTAGTATGCGGCACTTTAAGCACATCTTTCGGTTAGTAAGCGGCTTTTTAAGCAACGTGCGTATTTACTTCACATGTCTATGTCTTGTTAATCCAACTGTAACTTTAGCAGCGAAGTAAACATTTGGAGTGTTCTATGTACCGTTTTTTGTAATGCACATAATGTACGTTTAATTCATCTAGGTTGAATAGAAATATTTGAGTTTTTTGTGAAGTTGGCCATGTGTCCTTTAATTTATATTGCATGCGTGATGTGTTTGGTCTCTTCAAACACGTTAGCAATAAGTTTAGGCAAATCTTCATTTCTAACGTCACATAACAGATAAGTGGCACTAAAAAAATCAAGTTGATGTACTTTGAGGTTTCTGATACATATTATGTACTCTTTATGCTATGAGTACATAAAGAGTAAGGTAGGGGTGGGGTCGGGGGTGGGGTAGGTGGGGTCGACCCCACCAAATCAAGTTGATGTACTTTGAGGTGTCTGATACATATTATGTTCTTTTCCCTACAATGACCCTACCCCATACCACATGCCCCCACCTAGGCCACACCCCGATCCATACCGTACCCCTAACTCAACCCCACCAAATCTCGACCCCACCTACCCCACCCCCGTCATATTATGTATTATTTTGACACTTTTCTCGTATTTTTACATTCTCTTAATCTCACATGACTTTTTTAAAAGTAATATAATCTAGTCATGGACTCGGTCTGGTCCGACCGGCCCGGGAACCGGACCGGCCCGGTTGACCGGTTATGGTACCGGGCCTGGACCCGACCCGGCCTACTAACCGGGGGCGATTCTGGTACGTGTAAATTGTGAACCGGCCCGGCTGGTTCGGGCCTGGTTCAGGCCTTTTCTTTTTTGGGTTTCGGTTGGGTTTAGGTAGGCTGGGCTAGGTGATTCTGAGGGGTTTGGAGGGGTGGGGGGGTGGGGGGGGTGGGGGTAGGGGTTGAAATAAATAATAAAACACACACAAAAAAAAACCCAGAACCGGTAACTGCCTTGATGGTATTTCTAATGCCCCTGCAATTGATGCTGAATTTACATGTTCTTTTGAGTCTTTAGTGGCAAATGTTCAGGCCCCTATTGATGGGAATGTAAATGCCTCTCCTGGTGTTGGAAAACTACCCGTTTATGATAAAGTCCATGTAATTGATGTTGCCTCCTATATCCATGTAATTGATGTTGTGGTTCAGGCCCCTGCTGACTTGATTTGGTGCTGGTTGTGCCCCTGTAATTGATGTCTCTACTGATGCTATGAAGCAGGCTACATGTCCAGTGGTCTCAGACCACACTGATGTCCCTAATGATGCTACAACCTCTGATGTGCCTTCAGTTTACACTGATGTCCCTAAGTCAGTGGATTTTGATAATGATGAACCATGCTTATAAATTGCCTCATTCTGGAGTATGCTATGTTTTGTAAATTTGAAGTGAATCTCAGAACATAAAATTACACATGTTAAGGCTATTAACTCAGTTGGTAGAGTAGTGTGCAAATTTGCACATTGGTGTGGGTTTGAGTCCCACATAGCCTTAATAAGTACTTGGTATCAATTGTTTCAACTTCCCAAGAAAGTACTTATAGACAAATTTGACAAGTCATTTGCATAGACATAAATTTGCGTATGATTAAGTTGTAGATTCAATGTGAATAACAGTAGAACAATTAAAATATAACCAAAACCTTGTGCAAATAGTTGGAGATTACATCCCATTTTCATCTTCAAGGAATTACATTTGGACTTTGTTCAGAACAAAAAAAATATAATTGATAGATAAACTTTCTGCTTCGTAACAATGATCTGCCTTTTTTGCTTTCTCCTTCACTTCAAAAGTGCTGTCAAAATAAACTTCTTGTTTCTAGTTTTGAAGGTTGACTTGTATACCCCACCTAAAGACCAAGTGATCAGCTTCTGGAAATAACCTCATCTACAACACCACTGTCGTCATCATTTTCCGGTTCAAAATAATCTCCATTCTTTTATAGAACACAAAAAACATGTACATAACTCATAGAGCCAGAATCATAACTTCTAAAACCAAATGCATAACTTTAAATTCACATTAGCAGTAAAGAATTTTATTCATGTCCGGAATTCCGGACAGAAACCGCCGTCCGGACGGTGGCGTTTGGCCGCCTTCCCGGTGACATGTTTTGATGAAATTTTTATGGCATGTTCTCCATCAAGTCTAGTTTATCCACAAAAACATTCAGCCAAAAACTCAACCGGGAAGGTCGTCAAATGATTTTTGCAAGTTAACTCGTCCGGAATATGTATTTTCCGGACCAGTTAACTTGCAAAAATCATTTGACAACCTTCCCGAATGAGTTTTTGGCTGAATTTTTTTGTGGATAAACTAGACTTGATGGAGAACATGTCATAAAAATTTCATCGAAAAATTCCACCCGGAAGGTAGCCAAACGCCGCCGTCCGGACGGCGGTTCCGGTCAGGAATTCCTGACCGGAAGAGTACTCTAGCAGTAAATATCAATATAAGTAAGAAACTTTATTTGAATACAAAAATAAAGACTTCATACAGGAAAGAACAGAAGTTAGAATCATCAACATCATCTGATACGTCAAAGTTGTCCTCACCTATAATGTAAATTTTAAAAAGCACATTATAACGATACATTACAAGTAGAATAAAAACTGCTACCTTTTGCTTTGAAAGTTGACTTCAAGGTTGAATATGTTGGATCAATATGTCTCCATTATCCATCCCATTTGTCGTT